CACGGTCTCATCAAGAACAAACCCGACATCAGATGTAATCACATAGATTATACAATGTGAAGGTTTGTAAAATAGAAATGGATGATAACTTTTCATAACGACCGACCAAGGATTTTAGAAGGCCTAAGCACGGGGTCGCACTAAGCTATTAAGCATTATCATAATGCATAATTGATCACTATGTAAGTGGGAGATTATTGAGCTTTATGTGCCCATGTGGGCAATCATATGATTATTATCTGTTATATTCATCATGAATAATAGGCATTGAAGACTGTTTATACATCTTGTGTATATAAACATAGCTTTTGCCTATAGACTTAGCGCTCTAGTAGTATAGATTAGAAATATAATGTTCTAATTATGAGGGTGTTACATTTAAAGAGACTATTTCTAAAATGTTCTTAGAAGAACATTATGATAGTACGAACATCATAAAATACTAATACATATTAGACAAGATAGCCGCGTCTCATATGCTATGGATATTGTGATATCTTAATCTATAAGTAGGTACATATCTAGAGATATGGTACTCAACTGACCCACCATGAAAATGCTACATGTGTAGTATTTTAATGTGTTAATAAAATGACCATTGGTAACTATCTTTTGACTTGAAGTCATTATGATCTTTAATATGTTGACCTACATGCTTTGGTTTATGACTAATGTCATCTGAAATACTAGTGAACGTATAGTTTTGTTTTGGATATGTAGTTAAACATATGTAAAGGCGTGAATGATGTACAAAGAATTTATCCTTTCCATTGTGCTGAAGTGTAATATCTTTGGGCTCACTCATTGATGTGACTTGGGAAGTGCATGACCATGCTGAGATAAGTTGATACATGATATTAATGCTATTTGAATCCCACAAGTCAATTTGAGAATCAGTAAACCAACGATTTAACTATAACAAAGTAACACTTCCCATACCTTGTGTTAAATCAAGAAATTATAGGTAAAGGGATAAATGTTATACAAATGTCATGTGTCGTTCGAGGTATTGTTGCAATGAAATTTATGTTTATAACTTAGGTGACGATAATATGTTGCTAGATACCACGTATCGCTTGTAAAATATTAATTGTGAATGTCTTAAATTACAACTAATTCAAATTCAAGATGAAATAATATAATTGATTAAATATTTCGGGCAATCAAATTCAAACAAATCAATAAGTAAAACAAGCACTTAAATTCAATCAATAACTTGAGAGAAGCGTGTGGATTGGACAAGTATATCGGCTATTATAATTCCCTTGGATTAAATTATTTTCTTCATTAACTTATCTTATTTCTAGGCCTCATTAATGTGTCTAATAATGATTGAGTAGATTATTTTTCGTAACTCATACAAAAAACGGATTAATAATCTCTAAGAATTTATTAATAAATTGGTCAAATCTATTAATTAGTTTATCTCATTTTAGACAGAATAATCTAATTAATTATTTCTCTAACTTAATTCTAAGTTAATTAAATTAGCTCATTACATTAATTCAATCCATACCCTAAAATTACTTTAGCCACTAAATTAGGGATAATCAAACCACTGAGTCAACACACAAGCATTTTAAACATCCTGAATAACATATAAGTTAATGACAAATCTTGAAACTTAGTGTTAAGTGAATGAAATCAGAAAAAGTAACCTGGGCAATCTTAGTATCATCAAACTAGGATGCCAAAATGGCCCTTCGAGCAGGATGACTACGATATCCTTCCTCACAAGCATAGCTCACTTTGTCATTGAGGATTGTGTAGTTTGAGCTGCTAATATTCCTTAAGTAGCAAGAAGAATCATCACGATAATGGTATGCTTGCTGGGTACTCCCCAATCCATTCACTACCAAGTTGCCCTTTACGAGCATGGATCCGTTTCCTTTCTGTAAGTTGTTGAGAAAACTGGTGGAAGATCTGGAATTAGAAGATTCGATCAACTTCTCCTTGAATCCCAATGTTATATCTGCAACAGAAGAATATGTTTTATTTCCTTGATCTATGTCATCAGTATGCATAGACAGATAGAACTTCTTAGCAGACTGGAAGGAACGGAAAGAAGAAGACTGCGTCTCGAAATGAACTGCATCATTGGAATGAATCGTCTGGTTTACAATCTGCATATTCCCTTGATTCCCCATAATCATAACATTGGTATACTTGAAGTCTTGAATGGCTTCAGTACAAATCACTCCATGAGATGAATTCACCCATCCACTCAACCTTATGGTTCGATTGCCCACAGTCATGAAGGAACCATTCAAGCCAGTGAAATTTGATGTATGGGACAAAGAAATAGGCAAGCTTGTATATTCTACGACCTTCCCCTGTGTTTTCTCACTATCGGCGTCTAACCAAAGATGCAAGTTTGCATCAATGTACCAAACATTGAGAGCATCAGTGACACTGAATGAAATCGTATGACTCTTCCCATCTAATATCAGCCCTAGCAACGGAGTTATCTCAATGTCATATGTAGGGAGGTCAAATGAGCCAATTCCTGTAATGGGTCTCCACAGGAGAGGATTTACGCCTCCGGTATAAATCACAGTGAAGGGCCAAACAGCTCCAACTACTTTATCATCCAGGCTGACAAGAATTTCTCTAAATGGTCCGTTCCCAGGTCGATCAGTAAGGTTATTGGCAGCAATGTAGTCATTAGGCAGATTACCATACCAAAACTCATCATTTTCGTGAAACGAAACATAAACCTCCAAAACAGCCCTATAAGCATTTTGAGGGATCTCCAACTGCTTCGACTCCGTGTCTGTTGAATTCTCAATCTCAAACCACAACCCGCTGTTCAGAGGCAAATCTCTCGAAATGGGAAGGATCAAATCAGGTACAAAATCAAGCCCAGAATACGAATTGGAGCTTTTTTCTTCCTCTGGGTAAAAATGAATCTTGATTTTCACATGATAAACACCAGTATAAGTATGATCTACAATGTTGCCCATGTAAACAGCAAGAATCTGGTGATCACTCATCAGCAAAGAGTAATACCTAGTAACATCCTTGTTGACAGTCCACACAATTCCAGAAGCACTAGGCTCGGCAGTGCAGCTACGGAGGATCTCAACCCCCCCGAGCCAGACCCCAAAAATCCTGTCGAATTGCCTGCCCTTAGATGTGGCTTCCCATTCGAGGACAATTTTGGAGAAGTTCTGAGATGAACAATTGGAAGGGCGGGTGTAGTTCGCAAGTACTGGGGGCTTCCCATAGGTATTGCCGAAATCGTGTTCAAGAACTAGGTATGAGCAGGGCTTGGTAATTGGGATCTTTATGGGCTTAGTGACTTCAAAGTAGGTAGTGGGGATGTCGTTTTGTGGGTGCTCCGGAATGAGCAGTGACCTGAGTAGCCCGGCGGAGCTGTGGCGTCTTGCGGCGGAGAAGAGAGGTTGGTTGAAAAGGGAGAGAGCAGTGATGAGGAGGACGAGGGCGGTGGAAGCCATGATTGAAGGATGGAGGCAGAGTAATGATGCACCGTCGCCTTGGTCGGGAATCAAAATCTAGGACGATTCCAAGTGTACAAATTCAACAACGGGATTAATTAATACTGTAGTTACTCCCTTCAATTAAGAGAAGAAAAATGAAATTTGCATTAAATAGAACTAAAATATAAATAATTTCAACGTAGAATTTAAATTTTTTTAATAGGACATAATAATGTTTAGTGGGAAGAATAATGTCCAGCGATAGTGGACATTTACTTGAATAATGACTAATGGATAATGTTCAATAGTTCTACATTAGGAAATAAAAACATATAGTTCTATATTGAGAAAGTCATTATGTTTTAATCTTGTTTAGGTAAATTCCTCTTAAGGGAACTCGAAATGGTCATGGGATCCCAAACTTAAAATAGCGGTTTTAAATCTTTTGTGTCACATCAATTTTAACCCTCTTTTGATTTAGAGCAATGGAAATGCTGATAACACCGAGGCTGCGTCAAACGTTTGACGCACACTGCCCCTCCCCTTCAATGGCTATATAGCCGTTAGAAATTTAAAAATTATTTTTCTGTGTCTTTCTTCCTCTTTCTTTCTTGATAAATTCAGTCAATTTTTTTAAAATTCAACAAAAATAGAAATCTCTCTCTATCTATCATCTTTCTTTAAAAATTTATTATTCAAGTATTTTATTTATTTTTATCATGAATCCCTCCGGTTCCTCTCCGTCCGATCTCGAGCCAAACGAGTACACGATGTAGCTCTTACGAATGTACGAGAATAACCCATCGTTGTTCAAAACGCAAATCTCAGTGAGTCTCAAGGACCTGGACTCGGTTTCTAAGACTCAACCGGAACAAAGTGCACCAACCGGAACTTAAAAAGTGCATGCTGGAAGAGTCACAAAGCGAAGGGCGACAAACCAATGACCGAGGCAGTTTGGTCCATTCAAAACTGGACGGTGCAAGAAGAATCGTTATTGGCGTCGGCTTGGGTTGACGTTTCCGAGTATCCTATCATTGGTTATATATATATATATATATATATATAATATATATATATATATATATATATATATATATATATATATATATATATATATATATATATATATATATATATATATATATATATATATATATATATATATATATATATATATAATATATATATATATATATATATATATATTAGCAAATTCACGCACGTTGCGCGTGTTAAAGTGCCCGATAAGGATTTAAGCCAAGATTTCTTATGGTTTTTGCTTACAATTTATTGTAATTGAATTTGTATATAATCCTATTTGTTCAACACCTCACGAGAAAGGAAGTTGAAAACACAAGTGAATATAATTTAGGATATGATACATGACTTTTTTTAGAGGGGGAGGGGGTATATAGAGCTATTATAATTCATAAGAAATGTTTCTTATAGCATTGAAGTGGCTCATAAGCAATGCAATAATGTCTAGAATAAAGGTCAAGAATTTCTCAAATGTATCATTTAAATGAATTATAAGTCCATAAGACTAATGGTAATAATTTGACACAAGATGTATATTGATTACAATTAAAAGTAAATTAAAGACACATAAAACAACAAAATGGGGCCAATTTGCTTGTACACGCTGTTTTTTTAATACTAAGTGTACACTACTTTTCTTTATTTTACCTTTGTAAGTACAAGAGTGCTCCAGCTAATTGCTTTCCTTTCCAAGATTAAAAAAACACATTGGACAACATGATATGAGATTAAAAAGAAACGTAAAACAATCACCAAATTAGCATGTGTGGTAGCTTGTTGACAACTCTATTTTGTTTTCATTTTATAAAAACGAGAAAAGACTCAAACTTGGGGTGAGTTATTGAAAGATCTAATCTGTTTAGACATGGTTATTTGTTTGCCTCTTTCTATAATACCGTTTTTCAAAAAAAAATTATCATTATAGACCATGCATCAAGTTGGGAGTTGATTATTCTCATACGTTACTATTGTGAATTCAAAAATTGCCCGGGAAAGAAAACAAAGGAAAATTTGAAATGGAATAAAATATTTGAAGGAAAAAATAAAACATTAAGCAGGCAAATGCAATGCCTTCCTGAAGAATTAGCTACCTGTGATGATCTAATTGAGCTCTTCTTCCTTCTACCAGTCGATATGACTTGCAAACAGTTCTGCGGATGCCTTTCCCCGTTTCTTTGACATCACAAGTTGCTTCGAAAATTCTCAAATGCTAGGTTGCTTAATTTCATTTTTTTTACCTGCTAATACCAATACATAAAAAATACTGCATTTGGTAATTTGCTGCATCATATCAATATGAAGAATCAAGACTCTTTTTTTCATAATTCAGTTCCAAAAAAACAATGAACATTAAAATAAATAAAACCAAAAAACAGTATATTATTCAAAACCCAAAAAGCATTTACAAATTAAACCACAACACCAAACCTCAAATCTTGCAACCCTAGCATGAGTCATCTCCCTATCCAGTCTTTAACACGTGTATCTGTGACATCTCCCTTGCTTCAAACTTGTCCCACATCTTCCAAAACAAAAACTGCTCATTAAATATCAAGCGACACAAATAAATATTTGCTTATACTATCAAATGTAATTTTGTCTTACTCCTCATACTTGATAATAAATAATTTTGATTGAAAGCATGTTCATAAATAGTCCAGCGATAAGTTGCATAAGTCATAAATAGACTCTAGTTGGCTTCAATTAAAAATTCAAAGAAAAATTAGAGTAATTAAGATATTACATATGAATGAGGGTTCTTGGCACTTTGCTAAGTCCTAGACCTAAACAATAGTGTCATCAGAGCAAGAATAAAATTTCACATCTGTTGCATGTCACAGCTTTTGGTGGAAGAGGAATAAAAAAACTCAAAGCTTCTCAAGTAAATCAATTGGCCTGTAAAGTTTCAGTGACCTTTTTTAACTCCATGCCCTTTTGAATTACCACATGAAGTTAAAAAAACCAAAGTTCTCATAAAAGAGAACCTTCTAGAGTAATGAAAGCCTAAAATAATATTCTCACACAAAGGCATTTGTTTGGTGAAGAGAAAAAAGCATAGCTTTGCTACCTTTTAAACTATCAGAAATACGAAATATCTTGTGTTTGCACTTGCAATACAATCACATCTTCAATCCAAGTTAATCTCTCAAATCCTGGATTTCACGTTGTTGGCTTTTCTAGTCCATTCTTTAATCTAACTTATATTCCTCAATCTGTATATTTTATAAAAATATGAAGAAGCATACCACGGAGTACTAAACAAGAAAGCTAACTGTTGAATCTCAACATAATATAACCACACATAAATCAAGCACTAAATACAACATCACATACCTGCTGCAATAAGGGAGATGATGGACAGTGTGGAGAAGAATAGAACAGATGCTCCTATTGCTATTAACTATGCTCTCCAATTCCTCCTCAGTGAAGTGCATGCTTTGAGAACCGATTGTGGAAGCGACTCGTAACATGGATGGCAACATGCGAGTCAGCGGCTTGGAGTTTTAGTCGGAAATGGCTTGAATATGCGCCTATCAAACACTTATTAGTTATTACAAAGTAAATATTTTTTATTGAGGAAATTACAGAGTAAATGTTAGTATAGCATGAAAACTCAGGCAGTTCGCAACTTCTTGCGGAGTATAGTTCTAAACGCCAGCACAACTTGGCTTATAAGAATGATGCAAGTTTAAACAGTAAGGACATTTTTGGCTGAATAACTAAAGGTACAACTTTCTAAGCATGGTTTACAAAAATATGGATGGAAAAAGTGCATCTATTTTCCATTTATATAATAAGAAAGATGTGTGTGTGTGTGTGTACATACACAAACACAACATGAAACAACGAAAGTCATAGTGATAGCAGAAATTATTTACCAAAGTGAACTTCATAAGGTCTGGTATGAGTTAAAACTGAACTTGATATGTTTAAATTTGAATATAAATAATTTTTATGCTAAAAAATCACTTGAGGCATAATCCAAAAATAGAGTCAAAATCTGCATCACAGAGCAGATTAGGCTACAGATATGTGTTCAACCTAACCATTGAAGTACATAGGATAAATAAATTCATCAATCTCTTTATATATCGTGAAACATTGATTAAGTATATATTTAAAAGTGCGACCTAACCATCTAAGTATAATATCTAATTCTTCTAGTATCTCCCCTTGCCCAAACTGCCCCCCCCCTTCCTGTCACCTAGGAAAAATGTTTTGCAATCTTTTCACACTAAAATGCATTCATAAAGCTCATTAAATAAGAAAGATCTAAGAAAGCAACATACAAGAACTTTTAAAGACAATACTTACAGTCCACAAAGACAAGAAAAGTAGAAGCTGTTATACAAAAAGTATATATGAAACAACCTATTATTAGTTAGGATTTTCAGTAAGCAGATTTAAAATCCTAAGAATTTGTTTCAATAAGCATTCCTATTATTTTTAATGAGTAGGTTGGAATAAAAGCCCCTAAAAAACATGTATACCTTGAAACAAGGGATGCATATTATAGTAAAAAATTCTAGAAAACTATCTATTATTTGTTAGGGACTATAATTTGCCCACATAATTTGCCCACCACCTAAATTGAATATTGAACTTTCCAAAGAATAGAAGTTGCTTTTCTAAAAACAGACCATTGATTTTTAAGAAGGCATAAGCACAAGGGATAAATCAAACCCTCTTCTTAAGGGTTCGATTTGCTTTTCATACCATACTTAAGAACAAAAAAACTAACACAACAAGAGAGCCATGAGAGCCTTATTGAATTGAGCGTTTTCAGCAACTAAATCTGTGAATTTCTCCTCAGACACAAACCTTGTTTTCTCTTTCCCTCCTCGGACAGAACGCAACTGATGTACAGTACCGAATCCAGACTACCTAATATATCATCGCCAGCTGCTATGAATAAAGATAAGAGATTAGGGATTCGTACATACCACAATCACAGACATATTGATGACGATGGACGGTGGAGACAAATCTCTATCTGATTTTTGCTTAAACTTTTTAGGCAACACAATACTCCGTTTACCATGAATCCCAAATTGACAAACTCTAACGGTCCGTTTGGTATAAGAAATTGATGGAATTGGAATTGAATTGGAATTGAAATTCCATGAGATTCAATTCCATAGAATTGAATTCTGCCAATTTCAATTCATTTTTTGCACTATCAATTCCAAATCCACATAATTTTTGTGCTACCAAACACCAGAATTGGAATTGAAGTCCTCAATTCCAATTCCATAGTTTGAATTCCGTGTACCAAACGGGGCCTAACAATTATTTATCAGTGTAGAACATTATCATCTATTAAATCAAATATCATGCAAATTAAAAACCAAATGTCCAATTAATCAGCTTTTCAAAAAACCCCTTTAAAGCTGGATAGGAATTCATAAAAGAGAAACAAATAAATTAGGGTTTTTGAAATACCCCAAATCAAAAACGTGCCGGTGGTGACCTCGTTAGAATCGATCTCTGGCAATGGTTGGGAACATGGATGGCGAGAGCCGATCCAGCGGCATGGAGGTCTGGTCAGAACTGGTTGTTCCCTGGACCTCGAGTTCTTGTGGCTTGAATCTTTGTCACCCGGTCCATCTTCAGTTTTATTCTTCTTCCGCTTTTCTCCATGGTACTCTGTACATACAAGTGGAATATGAGAAGCCAAAATGTTGCAAACCTACCACCTTCTACCGTTACTTCAACAACACTGTGTGAGGTAGGAGAGGTAGAGAGAAGTCTATCCTGTTTACAAAAAGGGTCATGCTACATTTACACCACATATTATACCCCATTTGTACACCGCAGTTATACACAAACATTTTGATGGTTTACACCGACACAAGTGTTTGTGCGTTAACAAAAATTTACACGGACACAAAGTGTTGGTGCATTAACAAAAATTAGTTTTACACCAACACAAAGTGTCGGTGCAAACCTACGGGGTACAAAGTGGGGTACAAAAGTTGGGGTACAAGTAGCTTTATCCTTACAAAAATTGAGATAAGGCAAGGGAGGTAGGGGGAGGTAGATAGAGGTAGGGTTACCTCTCAACAGTGCATTTTGGCTGATCCCCAATTTGGCGAAATATCACGGTAATAAATTATATTATCCGTCGCTGCCCTTCACCCGATAGCCAATCGCCATCTTCTTCCGGTATTCCCATTGCCCTTCATTTTTTTGTTTCAATTTTCACTTTTTTGCTCTTCCGCATAGTTCACTTTTTTGCATTTTGCTCTTCCTCATAATCTTCTTCCGCATAGTTCATTTTTTTGTTTCAAATCCGATCCCCATCTGCTCACTTTTTTTCACTTCGATTTTCCCTTTTTTTCCAATTTCCAGATTTCCAGATTTTTTTTTCTATTTCCAGTTTTTAATTTCCTTTTCTTTTTCACTTTTTTTCAGTTTCAAGTTTTGGTTCACTTTTTTTCAGTTTTCGTTTTTTTGTTTCCGTTTTTTTGTGAAAGATAATTTTATATAAATACATCCTAAACAAATAAAGAAAAACAACCGGAAGGATATTTTAGTAATTTTATTCTTTCTTTACCTCACGTTACCTAATAAACATCCAAACACAATTTTTTAATTCATTCCCTTACTTTACCTACCTTCAATTGCCTACCATTACTTACCTAATAAAATTTTTACCTACCTCCAACCAAACATACCCTAAGGGACGGACCTTTAACGGCGAGGACACTTTTGTCTAAGAATGTAAGAAGTACAACTTTTTGAGCATGAGGTATATGAAATTTGGACGGAAAAAGTGCATTTTTTTAATGGATACCTAACTATCTCTCCCATATATATATATATATATATATATATATATATATATATATATATATATATATATATATATATATATATATATATATATATTCTTATTTATTTATATATTTGTGTTAAAATATTTTTTCGTTCAATTATACACTTTTTAAAGGTTTCGAGCAAATGAAGGATGCGATGTGGGATCGTATCAAGGAGATGTTCTTTGCGGCAATGAACAAGGACGCCTCGTACCCGAGACCAACTCACTTCCAAATGGGGCCACATCAACCATAATGTCTGAAAGTTTATCGGAGTTTACGAGAAATGCTCTCGGTCCCAGAAGAGCGGGATGAATGACGCTGATGTTCTGCAGCAAGCCACCGCCTAGTACAAGAGAATTTTAAGCCGTTCACCCAAATGGCAACAAATCAAGAATCCTGAGGCCCGCTCCTCAAAGAAAAGATCCTCCGCTGAGGTTGAGGCCGATGAGACTATCGGCTCTTCAGAACAAAGGTTTCCCTTCAACCTCGACGACTCCGAGGACGAGGACCCCATTGCACGAATGATGAGAAGGAAGCAAGCAAAATCTATTGCCTCGGGTCCAGGACTTCATAGGTATTTCCAGTGCTTTTACATCATAGTTTCATTGGAAATATCAGATTTCAAATCGAGGCTTCAATCTTTTTTTTTTAATTTTTTAATATACATTTTATAAAAGTAAATTAATAAGTTTTTATTAGTTAATTAAATTTAAACCGAAATAATAAATTAAATAAAAATACATTCAATAAAAAAAGTACACTAAATTTAAAAAAACAAAAAAAAATTACATTTATAAAAAAACACTAAAACATATTATATTTAGCTTTGGTGAATATATAGAGTAATTATTTTTGTGTGTTTGTGTTTTTTATTTTTAAAAAAGAGAGTGAATATATAGAGTAAAAAAGATCTTTTTTTAGCCCAACGCCATTATAGCCGTTCCAAAGGAGGGACCCACAATTATTGTTCTTGAGTGAATTTGTGTTTTAGACACTTGTTAAAAGAAGGTGATTCTCTTGTTGGTTCGAAGGAAGGATTGTTTCTTTCGAAGGTTTGTTAAGATTCGTGTAACTCGAACTCTCAAGTCGTACGGGTTTGTTAAGGACCGTTAAGCTTAACGTTGATGGTGTAACTCGAGAGAGTCTCTCGGGAGGCTGTACGTAGCCACATGTTGTGGTGAACCAGGGTAAAACCGGTGTCCCTACTTCTTACTCTTTACTTTACGCTTTTAAGTTTTTTATTCCTACGATATTTCGTTTCAAACGGTATTCACCCCCCCCCCCTCTAGCGTTGGGATTATAATCTTACACACTTGATGCCCAGAATTCAGGTAATAGCTCTTTTCTCTTGGTAATGGCCTGACTTTTGTTAAAATTTATAGCCTACCCTGAAGCTTCCATAAAGGTGGACAGTATAGTCTTCACTCTTAATAGGTTCATGCAATCTTCCTTAGCAACAATAATAATATCATCTGCATAAAGGAGATGACTAGGAGTTGGGGTTGTGCCAGAAGAGAAGGTGGGGATCCTGCCTATTGAGTGCTGATAATTCAAATATCTGGTAAGACCCTCCAAAGCTGTAATGAAAAGTAAAGGGGATAAAGGATCGCCCTACTTAACCCCACACTACATAGGAAAGAAACCCTTTGGCTGTCCATTAATAATCACAGAAAAAATGTTGATTTAAGGTTTCCCATCAACAGCTGAACCACTCTTGGATTAAAACCAAACTTAACAAGTATTCCTTCCAGAAAATGCCAAGAAAGTTTATCAAATGCTTTAGACAAATCTAGCTTCATCATACAATTTCCTCCTCTCACCTTTGCAAAAAGGAGATGTACCATTTCCTTATCCATGAGGACATGCTCAGTTATACTTTTTCCCTGCTAGAAAGCAGCCTGCTCTTGAGAGATAATCTTGGGCAAAAGTTTTTGAGTCTATCACTCAAAATTCTAGTTGTTATCTTGCTAAAGAAAGTTGACAAATAAATGGGTCTAAACTGCTCCAGAGTGATGGCAGACTCAGTTTTGGGAATAAGAGTAATCAATGTACTTCCAAAAACTCTTGGCATCTTAACCCCCACAAAGAATTCTTGGACTACCTTGAAAACATCAAGTTTGATAGTATCCCAACATTGCCTATAGAAAAATCCATTAAAACCATCACTACCAGCTGTGCTATTAGGATTCAAACTCCAAAAAGTTTTTTGATTTCCTCCTCCTATGGAATTAAGCCCATGAATATATTATCCTGATCAGTCATGATAGGATGTATTTGAATTAGGATATCCTCTATGTCCCCCACATAAGCCCTTTCAAAAACCTTCTGGATTTGATCAATGGCTGCCCTGGAGATGCCATCTAGAGAGGAAGTAATACCATTTGAAGTTTTCAAAGATGAAATGTGAAGTCTTTTCCTTCTGCCCTTAACAAAAGCATGAAAGAAAGAAGTAGAAGCATCACCCTGGGAAATCCATTTAATATTGGCTTTTTGAGTCCAAAAAGCCTCTTCCTTCTTATGAGCCTGTTGAAGAAGAGCCCTAGAAAGCTTAAACTCCATAAAGTTAGCCTCACAATCATCCAGATCAAAATCTGCCTCAGCCTTTTCAGCTCTGGTTTCAGCTTTGGACATCTCCTCAAAAATATTTTCAAATGTTTCTTTATTCCATTTAAGAAGGCCCTTCTTAAGATGGTGCAATTTATCAGCCATACCCCTCATTCCACCTCCATCATATCTTTTGTCCCAAGAAGATTGCAGTAACTCCTGGAAAGTAGCACGAGAGCGCCTAACATTTAAAAACCTAAAAGGCTTTTGACCGGTTGTTGGAAGATTTTGAAGTCTGAGTAAGATTGGCATATGGTTAGATTTCCCTCTTCCCAAATGCCTAATTTTCAGAGATTGAAACCAATCCATGCAACCCTCATTAACCAAAACCCTATCCAACCTTCTGCACACATTTCCCCTACCCCTCTTCCCAAACCAAGTGAAAGAGTTCCCCAAAAAAGGTGGGAAAACCAACTCACGGTCACTAATGGTTTGAGTGAAATCCTCAATGCTTCCTATGTCAGGACAAATAGGGCCTTTATGCTCAGATATGCTTGCAACTTTATTAAAGTCCCCGCCAATAATCCAAGGATCAGATCTAGGAAAAAGTGATCTAATAGAATCCCATAGCTCCCTCCTCTCCAGTCTAGTATGTCTGCCATAAACACTTGAAATCCAGACCAGAGAACTATCCTCTATAACTTTAAAACCACAAGAAACTATCTGATTTTGCTCAATGAGAGTATGCAAGGACAACTTACTATCATCCCAAAGAAACCACATCTTATTATTTTGAACTTTAAAGCCTTTAGGAAAGCCCAGCTTCATTTTATACCAATCAAGGTGATTGCCATCCACCAAAGGTTCCAAAATGGAAATAAAATAAAAATGATATTTTTTGTGAAGAGAATTAAGGAGATAGATTGAAGAATGTACACCATGAATATTCCAAAAGATACCTATAATTTGGATGCAAGGATAGAGAATCTATTTGAGGCCATATGCTTTGTAACCATGTTATGTCAACGTCCAAAATTCTCAGAAGATAAGGAAACATTCTTCTTCAATCTTTGACCTTTTTTAGAAGAGGTCAAAATTTTAGCAGTATCCACAACCTCTAAAACCTCTGTAGGAACACCATCATAAAAAATAGGGTTTTGTTCAAAAGGGATAATATCCATGCTGTCATCAACTGGAACATCCTCATAATAGGAGATCGTAATAGAATTATCAAAGAGATGCTTCAAAGTAAAATTTGAAAGGAAAGCTGGATTTGTGATAGAACATGTTCCTACATCCTCAGTCTCTGATGTGAGTGGAGGCCCAAGGCTGCAGCTGGATTGAGGTACAATATTAACAAAAACTATATCCTTTATATTTTTAGAGGCTTTGGAACATTCCCCTGTCCTTTCCAACCATGGTCCCTTAGCTTATGTCCATATTCCTTGACCCTTCATATCTTTTCAGTATTGCTCTTGGCCTTTCCTTTCTTCGATCGAACAGCCTGCCATCTTTTTGTATCCCGCTCCTCTAAATGATAAGTTTTGGACCCATGTTTCTCCTTATCCATATTTTATTCTGCCAAAACCTCCAAGGGTTTCCAGCGAGGACAAGAATCATGTAAATGACCAATCTTTTTACAATAGCTACAAAAGGATGTGATATTTTCATAATAAAAAGGAAAGATGAGCTCTTCACCACCATGGTTGATAACTTCATTTTGTTCTTATTTAATTCTACATATTTTAAGCATTATTTTATAAAAATAGTAATAAATTTACTAATTAAAGGTGTCTATTAGTGACAAAACTTATGTTTCGTCTCAAGAAGAATAACATACGGGTTCCAAATTAAATTAAGTGGATTTTTCTATTTTATGTCCCAAATTGGATGAAAAGTTTCAGATTTTAAAGATCACAAAACTTCGGAGGTAGAAATCAGTGTTCGAGAGCCAATTGGGGCAATATAGAACAAATTCGGGCCCAAAATCGTGAGAAATCGCAATTAGAAGCAAAAGGGTGTAGGATTCGGGTTGCCTTTGGTATTCATAGTGTTTCTGCTTCGAATTGACTTGTCTTCGCCTAAGTGTTTGCCCTAGACAATTGGATGTAACTCAAAGAGTCGATCATGACTTTGTCGACATTTCCCATTTGGGTTCGTTTTGTATAATCAGTTGGTTGCTCAAAATTGCACTTACTTTCTTTTATAGAGCATAAAAGGGCATAACAAATTAAAGAGCAATCGACGGATTTCATATAAGGAACTTATTTTGTTCAGACAAGTGGGACAAAATGTTACATCGATTACAACCTCGACTATGCCATAAGTTAGTAGATAACCCACTAGTCTAGTCGGGCTGAGTCCACTGGAGGAATATCCACACCTCCGCCGCAGATACTGTTAGTTGAGTCCACGGTGAATGTTTCATCGGGGTCATCTCTTTCCCACGCCGCTTTCTAGAATTTCTAGATCTTCAGTTTTGTTATCCTTGCTTTACGATGCGCATGCTGGTAGCTCTCCTTGGAGTCGTATATCTTTATCTTGTTCTTTCGTCTCTTACCGAGCACGAAAGTCCTATTGGAGTCAACGCTTGACACGCTTTTGGTATCAATAATACTCATCTAACAAGCATTGCAAAGTCAAACTTTAACCAAATGAGCACGTAACATAATTACCTTCTGAAGACGGGAGACGATTCTAGGATGCAAATGCAGTTTTGAAAATGCATGTTTTTAAATGGTCTGAAGACTAAATTTAAAACCATTTGCTCTGATACAAAAAATGTAACACCACATTTCGTATAACCCGGAATTGTAGGAATTAAGGTGAAACGGGAGCAATATTTTAAAACTTTTCCAAATCATTAAATAAAATTCATAAAACAAAACTTCAAATACAACATATTAAATTCGGATCGATCCTTTTGCAAAATGTCGGAGATAGCGGAAGAATTAAATAATGCAAATACAATGATGTGGGTCAAGCCCAAAACTTCAAATGCAATACTTTTGAAAATCATGCATGTCAACCTGCCATCCTATTGTCTCTTCGTCCTCTGGGGGGTTCACATAATCTGTGCTTCAACCTACGTGTAGACAAAAAGACTACACGCTCAGCATAAAGCTGAGTGGTACGATAACGCCAGAGATCGATAATATATTTATACTTAAATATCATGCATCACATTGGCCACATAATTTTCATGCTTGCATAGTAGATAGCACGAGATACAAGATACACGCATACATATCATGGAGATTCATTTTGGAATATTATCCAAATATAAATACCTTGGCCTTGTCGTCGATGATGTTGGATATGAAGTGCAGTATGTTTTGCAATACCACATACAAATTGATAATTAAGATCTGCATAATTACTTACAAATGATGCAATGCCAAATGATTCATGATGCATGAGTTAGACTGCGCAGGGACCCCCTACCCTTTGGTGATCATCCCACGCAGTGATGAGTTGAGAAAACCTTAGTCTGGTGAAGGAGACTAGAAATTGTGGGTAGTAACTGAAAGCCTAGTTACCATGTACATACACAAGCCCTCGAGATGAAACCCGTTGGATCCCGAAGGCTCCTGGAGGGGCCCGCGAAAGAGGGCCTGACCTCTTGACGCGGTTATGCAATGATATGCCATGATCCTACAACATGCATCTAGGATGCACATGATGTTATGAATGGTATACTACCTTTGGATTTAAGTGAGCATGCTTGACTTATGATCCCGAAGACTTATTTTGAAAATTGAGTCTCGGTTTCTAATCCATATTTCATTTATTGATTCTTACCTTGAAAGCACTTTGATTTCGGATCTTTCTAAAAGTTCAGCAGCCCCTGATAATCGATTATCACTTGGTGATAATCGACTATCAAAGTTCAGCAGCCCTTGATAATCGATTATCACTTGCTGATAATCGACTATCAAAGTTCAGCAGCACATGATAGTATATTATCAAAACTTGATAATCTATTATTATCACAGTACTCTGGTTCTACCTTGGTCTGTCAAATTGCGTTCAACGTTTTGAAAATCATAGTGAACATGTAAGATTTACATATATATCTAAATATCGAGTTCCTCTTTATTCCAATAGATTTCTAGATGATTTTTTTTTCAACGAGTTTCATACCATATATCTTTATAGCGGGAAAACTACAATCATACGGATTCAACGTAAGTTATGCCAAGTAGTTGGGCATATAAAACAACAAATACACATACGTCCATACATGTAAAACACATATATTTGGGCATGGATTTACGTGTTCATGTAATCATCTAGATGTAGTCTAGGGGTTTTCTAACTTGTTCATTCACATGTCAAATTTATACACCTATACGTATCAAGTGATGTTATTGCGATATCCAATGGTATTTCCTCAAGCCTAACCACATTCTTCATAGCCTAACCATTCTACCTTTTTTGTTTCAAAATTCATATTGTTTACGATTAAGTCAAACATCCATTTAGCCTTGGTGCAATCGCCCAATTTCATAACGTCTTTTAATCCTCGTTGTTCTCTACGAAACTTTAATAGATCAAGAATTTATATACAAATAACCATATAAACAACAAATGTATTCGCATATAAATATATTAAAGATTCCTACGTTATATCTATGGTGTACATACCTCGAATACGATACGATAATCTTGACGCTAGAATGAACCAAATAAATCAACAACGTCAACGAATGGTTATCAAACTATTGACCTTCCGACTTCCAAACGGCTTCTTGAGTTTCGGTTTCTTCTTGCGAATATGTTACAGGGGTTTTGGAGAGTCGCCACGCATTCAACGAATAGCGGATTAGCTGAAATGAAATGATAATTGAGGAGAAAGTTGCAAACCTCGCGTTTTCTGTCCCCACTGGACCAGTTTTGGTGAAACGGCCGTATCGCCTTCGTTACTCGTCTGATTGACAAACCGTTTGCAGCTGTGGTTCACCGACTCACAAGGCTACAAGTTTGGTCAGTAAATTGTGACCAAAATGTGAGTTGAAGATGGTCAAAATACTGCCCAAAGTGGACTGACGGGAGTTTGCTTCCAAAATCAGCACCTCCTCCTTTTTCTTCTACTTCTTCCTTTTGCTCCTCTTCTTCTCCCAGCCCTTCCGGTTCCCCGCCTGCGTTGTTGCTGTCCATCGAACCAAGGGAGAGAGAGAGGGAGTGTGATGGTTGTGTGTTGGGGGTTACCAAAATGTGGTGGAGAGGATGAGGAGAGAGAGGGGTATATATTAAAGAGATGTAATTGGGAAATAATGGGAAATAAAGAGGGAAGTAAATGGGGTGGAGGGTGGCGTGTGAAGTGAATTTGGGGGTTACCTCCCTAAATCTCATTCCGTTGTGTAAATTCTGACCTGAACGGTATGCGTTTTCCCCCCGAACTTGCCCGAATTAAAAACCGAATGTGTTTTTGGAAATAAACAGCCAAAACTAAATTTATTATAACTTCAAACTATTTTACTGAAAACTTTATTCTCAATCATCCGGGTCCATCCCTTAATTAATTTATTTAATTAATTAATATTGAGAGGCTCATTATTTAAAACATCTTTTTATAATTAAAATACATTAACTTTTGAAGTCCATCTAATGAGATCCAAATCTCAATATTTATTATTTTAAAATAATGAGTCCCAATAAATGAATAATATTTATTTATTCAAAATATTGGATAATTGTAAGGCTGGTTTGTGGGGCGTTACAAACTCATTAACTTTTAGGGTATATTTCGGGCCGGGGTATTATAATTTGTTATACGAATTCTACCATGACTCGTACAATTGATGAATAGCAATCGAATTGGCCAACCAACATATCTTGTACGTTATAGCTACCCAAAATAAGTCGTATACATCTTTAACGATGTACCTAACCTTCTAATCTGCGTCATTTGTAATTTTTGAGAAGATCATTCCACAAATGAGTTCGCTCGTGATAAGCTTATCATCATTCTCTATCAAATAGCCTGATCTACATAAATATTAACTTTTGTATTTTTTGACGGTCCAAATAGAAGAATTGGAAGATTTTGCAGCCTGAATGAGCCATGGGCACTACTGTGGGTACGAACATTTTGCAAGCCACTAATTTTGATGCTTCAAAGAACTCCGAAATTGTCTATGCTCCGCAATATTGCAAAGAGACAGCAAATATCAAGGTTTTGAAAATCAGCGTAATTTTGGCCTATTTCAATCTCAAGGACACTGAACGTCGGCTCTAGAGATATTTGTTCAACGTTCCTATAAACTGGGAGTAAAACCTCGACAAGATAACCAATGTACGTAAACTCATCTATATACACGTCCGGCGTGCACATGGAGACCCATCCAGATACTTCTGACTCATCTAAAGAACTACTCCCATCATCAGAATTACCAACGTAAGTGGGATCGTCAGGGTCGCTTTCATCGTCTACATCTAGTGCGGTGTTACATGGCCCTGCTTCATCCCACGAGAATTATGTGTTCCTCATTCTTGTTGTTGGTGGTGGTAGCTCTGTAGTTCTTCCTCCATGTCGTCCTGCTATGTAGTTGCTATTTTCGCTTTATCGTGAACCTCATCTTGAACTCGATCGGCGTGGCTCTAGTAGATATAGTTAGGTGTAAGATTTTATTAAATTAGGTTCAAGATTAAAAAAAATATTTAATGGATATTCTTAGAAGAAAAAAATTCACTAACATGAAATCTAAGGCACAACTTATAAATTTTAAAAAGCTCCTGAAAATATTAAATCTCCACGAACTACATACGTAAAAATATATTTAGGAGTCAGAGTGATTATCATGATATTGTCCTGGAACAATGTATGCATCAACCTCGTCCTTGATCAGCTCGTCTTAGATCTTCTTGTCTTCAATGTCAGCCTGTCTCTCTTGTCGTTGTCTTCGGGGGGTCTGCCACGCACCGGTGCATCACGACGTCTATCATGTCGTCGAGGTACTACAACCGGGTCATACATTGGTGCTTCAGCTGGATGCGAAAGCATCTGGCCATACCCCGCGGCTCTGATAGACTGCACTGCTCGCTTGTGCACATCATGCGCTAGTGCATACATATCAGGAGCCGGGCCAAGAAGATCAACATCTGAGACTCGAGCAATGTCCAACATACTGAATAACTACAACATATAATAAATTGCATAAATATCATGAACAAAACATGAATTTTAGCAACAAATAGTAGTACGCACCAAACAATGTATGTCTGGACTAATCGGCACGTATCCAGGTACAAAATCAGCACGATGCTCTGGGTTCCCAATCAGCCGTCTACCATGCAAGTAATACCAATGGCGATATGCTGCAGTGAATCCAACATGGTTGAGGTCAAACTCTACTAAACTCTGATGTCGCGCTTCCCACTTTGCAACCAAATGTACCATTCTTGGAGCCATGTTTCCTGTGTTGTAGTCCTGAGGGAGTGCAAAGTAGGATCATACTCCACTGCCTCAGGGATATCCTGGAGTCCACCAAACTGACGAGAGAACCTATCCGGGTAATGCATCTCTACCATGTACGTGTAAATCAATGGAACATGTGCTCGCCACACTCCTATCCCGGCATAGCAGTCTGGGTGCAAGTCATGCAACTCTGGATAAGGTGTCCAAATGAACTGCAAACATAAGCAACAACCAATACGCATAACAATATTTACATTAATAATAATAAACATCTTAAATTTGGGTCTGACTGTATGATTATACCTCGCTCTCCTGAAGTCTATCAAGCTGGTCTCGGTATAGCCTAATTGAATGAGCAGACGACGCTGTCCATCGATGAGAACATACCCATCTGCATATAAAATTTCCATATCACTATTATTCTACAATTAAAATGAATAACATTGTATAGAAAACATTACCTAGCACCGTACGCCGCTCCCGCGACGTCGTGAGGGAGTAACATGCCCTGTGGTCTACACGTCGGGATGCGCTCCCAAGCCCAAACTTGTAGTAAAACCAGTGGGCCTGCGATCTGTGCAGTGTTAGCAAGAGCCGCGTTGCACAAGTTACGATACAGGCAGGCCAATACAGCTACGCCTATGGCCCGACTCCGCACCTCCTGTGTCGTACCCATTAATAACTCAATCAGGAATAAGTTCACTTTATTACCAGTCGTGCTGGAAAATAAGGCTCCACCCATAATCTTCAGCATTAGAGCCCGCGTATGCTGTATAAAGTCGACCTCGACGCTATGGTAAGTGAGCCCAATGAATGTAATCGCAGTCATTTTGATCTGCGTCTTCGTCAAGTCTACTAGATCAGGCCTAAAACCCATCATATCCTCACAGAGCTGCACCCAGTAAGCTTTCGTCCTTTCCGCCGAACCAACCACAGGAGTGCCATTCACGGGGAGACCAAGAAGAACCTCAACATCCTGTAATGTGATGCCGACCTCACCGAATGGAAGATGAAAGGCATGGGTCTCTGGCCGCCACCTATCCACTAAGGCAGTAATCAGAGCCCAATCAATCTGTAACTTAGAAATCTTCTCCACTCCGTAAAATCCGTACTCTCGCAGAATCCCCGTAACACGTCTATGACGGTCCACCCCCAACCCTTCATGCAAGCTACCATAATACTTAACGCATTTCAACAGAACATCCGCGAACGCTCGATCTTGCCACACTTTATCACATCGATGCTCGCCGGGTCCTAGAACTAGTACATCATTATTAATTGGTCCTGGATGAACGTTCGTTCTTTGCAAATCCATTTTCTACAATTACAAATATGTTTTCTTTTAAACATGCAAAATCATATAATAATCGATGTATTATAAAAATGCATAATTAAATTAAGAATCACAAATATTTAATCATTCTATATTTTAAGATAATAAACAATTCTAAAAAAGAATAAACAATTTCTACAACAATAATATGGTACGAATTGATAGAATAAAATATACTCCGTATAAATTAAAAGTTTGGATAACTTATATTAAAAAATAGAACATATATAACAAAAATTAGGCTCCGTTTGGAATCGAAGAAAATGACTTCTGAAAGTCATTTTCCTCATTTTCCACTATTTGGCAAGATAGGAAAATAAAAGTCAATGGAAATTAACCTTTGGTCAAGCAGAAAATGAACCCACTTTTCCGGAAACTGACTTCCGAAAAAACTCTAACACTATGTTTGGTTCATGGAATTTGGAAGGAAAAGAAAAGAAAATGGTTTTCCATTAGTTTCCTCACCAAAATGAGAGGAATTTGGTTTTCCATCCTCTTAATACATTTTGCTTTCTCATTTTCTTTTTTTTTACTTTTCTTTTCTTTTCCTCTCTAACCAAACAAGAAAAAATGTTTTCTTTCTCATTTTCTTTTCCTTTCTCTCTCAAATACCTTGAACCAAACATAGTGTAAAAGACAATTTCCGTCATTTCTTCCTCGCCTCATTTCCTTGTTCTCATTCAGCATATCGTTTTTCTTTTTTTTCCCTCTTCCCCGCAACCTCTCCTCCCCCTCTTTCTTCTTTTCTTCTTCTTTTGTCTGTGCATCTTCATTCGCCACTCAAAGTCTTAGTATCCAGAGCAAGCATTTTTCGGCGGGAAAGGTAAGTTTTTTTATTAAAAAAAACACTTAATTTCTCAAGAAAAAACAATAAGGTAGTGTTTGGCAAATAGCATTTCATTTCAATTCATGCATTTCAATTCAAGAATTTGAAATCCTAAATTTCAAATGACAAGGAGAGGTGCATGGATTTCAAATTAAGCTTTGTTTTGAATGTAAAGAATTTGATTCAAATCCAAATTCCAAATGCTTAAGTTTCCCAAACATGGAATTTGAGCCAAATCCGGATTTGAAATCCAAATTCATGTTCCCAAACATACCATAAGGTAGTGTTTGGCAACTAGCATTTCATTTCAATTCATGTATTTCAATTCCAAAATTTGAAATCTTGAATTTCAAATGACAAGGGGAGGTGCATGGATTTCAAATTAAGCTTTATTATGAATGAGAAGGATTTAACTCAAATCCAAATTCAAAATTTTTAAGTTTTCCAAACATGGAATTTGAGCCAAATCCGGATTTGAAATCCAAATCCATGTTCCCAAACATATCATAAGGGATTTTGGAATCAAGATCTGAGCTTTTTGTTCCTCGCAGCCTCTTTACTTTTAGATCTGTTTTTTTGTTGCTATATTGATTAAGAATTTAATGGCTTATTTTGATGATTAAGGCTGCATTCCGTTCGTCTGAATTGATCTGATCAAATTTTTTGAAGATTTGATATGAATGTAGTTATAAATAAAGTTGTTTCTGATCTGATCTGATCTAATCTGGTTTGATTTGAATATAATAAGAATAAGTAATAAGCAGAAAAAATAAGTTGAACAAAACTCTGCCGAAAAAGTGTATTTTTCGAATTTGATGGCTATGGAAATGCAGTACTGGAGTATTTATTCTTGAATTGTAACTTCCACTCTGCTCGCAACGGTATTACTACTTTTTTATGGATGTTTTTTTAATGTTTTTGGGATGAATGTTGATGGTGTAAATTACTTGACCGGTCAAACTATACTAGACCGGGTCTAGAATAGTTCGCTTGATTTGGCAAAGTAAGAAAGGTAAAAACACGCAAATTGACCGGTAGGACTTTAGGTGGAACACCTGTAGCCCGATTTATATTATAACGGAGAATGCACGGGTGCTTTTACAAGAGAGTTTAGAGAGAATGAATCCGGATCCCTCTTTCTGAGGTTTACATGAGTATTTATACTAGGCTAAGGGGAAAGGACCACGTGCGCCCACGTGGAGGCACGTGTCTCGGATGTTGAGAGGTGATGGGCCTCGTCTCTTAGCTACCTTGTCGCCTTGTGAGGGGGATTATTCCCTTTGTCAGGTAGTGCCTTGGATGGATTCTTCAGCATCTCCAGTCGTCCTCTACTGACACGGGTCGCTACACGCCAAGCCCTCGTAGATTCTCCTCTGCCGACACTTTCCAACCTCAGAAACTACACTGGGTAATCTCCGAGAGGTGAATTCATCGAAGTCTGGAATAAATAGGATGATAACGTAGTTTGACCGGTATACTTTTTTTGTGAAGTGTACCGGTCAAATTTTGGCCGATGACATATCGTTTTGCTGACGATTTAAGTCTCCCTTCCAAAACTTTCGAGATTGACCGGTCAAAGACTTGTCCTCCTCCTTTGACCGGTCTTGGGTGAAATACACCCATCAATAAGCCCTCCACTTCTCGTTCATGTAATTTGTCATGAGCGGGAAGTAAAAAGTCTGAAACAGGACTCTTAAATTCAAATTTTCTAATTTTTCCCGCTCGAATATTTCAAATTCAAAACTCCAACTGTCGGTTTTGACACGTGTTTGACGCTGGCCATCGCTGCAGTCGCGTCCCATCGCCTTCCCCATGCGCCATCATTGCGCCGCCTGACGTGGCATGTTCTTGCGTGGCCACGTCGCTCCCTTTGGCCTCCTCTCCTCCTATATAAATGCCTCCACCCCTCTTCCTTGTTCACTTTCCGCGATCAAGTCTCAGAGCTTTCACCGGTCAAGTTCCTTCTCTTCGCTATCCAGCCCTTTGAGTCAAGTAAGTTCCCCTTTCCTTCTATACTTTTCCCGGTCATGTCTCCTCTTAGCGATAGGGTCTCTTCCTCAGAGGACTGCTCCTCTGAGAATTCCAACTCCTCTTCCTCGACCGGGTCTTCTTCTCTTGACTCTTCGCCCGGTCAGGTTCCCAACTCCTCCATTCCCGACCCGCATCCTGTAAATCAGGTGCCCGGTGAAACTTTCGTGGGGAGGGATGACCCGGTCGATGACGAACCGGGCCCCTATGACCCCGAACACGAAACCCGGGACGGGTGGGAGGAGCGGCTTCACGCTGCCGGTTACTTTCCGCTTCCCACTTTCTATGTCCTTGACATACCTTCCCGTGTATCCAAAATCGCTTTAAATAAAATCCGTAGGAGGCTCCCAGATGGGTATACCCTCCTCTACGAACCCAACTGGCCCAATATCGTTGAACCCCACCGGGAGGATAGGATAGGGTTTCATACCATTTCCCTGGACGCGGGCATAGTTTTTCCTCCTCGCCCCCTCCTTACTGAAGTCTGCCATGCGTTTAGGATTTTGCCCGGTCAAATAACTCCTAACGCCCACCGGCACCTTCATTCCTTCGTAAATATTTGTACTCATCTGAAAATTTTCCCTTCTTTGCGTCTCTTCCTTTTTTGCTTCGAAGTCCTACCGGGCGGGGCTGGCTGCGAAGGCTTTGTATTCTTCAAAGCCCGTACCGGTAGGAAGTTCATTTCCGAAGTCCCCCAGAGTAACCGGGGATGAAAGGAAAAGTTTGTTTTCATCGAGTTTCCTCCCTTCTTCACTCCTCTGGCCGGTCTAAAATGGAATGACCATCTACTCGACCAAGAGTATGCTGCACCGGCCTCCTCCCCAGACTTGGAAGCTAATCTCGAGATCCTCATGCGCGGGGATCCTCAAACCGGGAGGATCTTCCATCAAGGCAGCTGGGTTTGGAGGGTAGAGTCGGGTGGTGAGGGTACCTCCCAGGCCCAGGAAGCAGCGGGGCACGGGGTACCCTCCC